CAACAACAAGCCAGTTTCCGCTTTTTTTTTTTAAGATATATTTATTTTTATTGGAAAGTCAGATATACAGAAAGGAGGAGAGACAGAGAGGAAGATCATCCGTCCTTTGATTCACTCCCCAAGCGGCCTGGAGCAGAGGCAATCTGAAGCATCCTCTACTGCTTTCCCAGACCACAAACAGGGAGCTGGATGGGAAGCAGGGCTGCCAGGATTAGAATCAGCACCCCATATGGGATTCTGGGCGTGCAAGGCGAGGACTTAATGATCACGCTATCGCGCCAGGCCCAGTTTCCTCTTAAAATACTCATTTTCATTTGCTTGAAAGGCAGAGCAGGAAAGAGACAGAGACAATGGAAGAGATTTGCCATTTACTGGTTCATTTCCCAAATGTCCCCAGCAATCAGGGCTAAGCCAAGCTCAGGACTGGATCTCCCTCCTGACTGGTAGGGATGGAAGCATCTGAGCAGTCATACTGTATCTAGGGATGCATTAGCAGGAAACTGGGAGCTTGGGCTTGAAGTAGCACTACAGTAGGAGCTGTAGACATCCCAAGCACTCAGACATAGGATATGGGCATTCCAACTACTGTGTCAAATATCAGTCCCCATGCATCTTTTATGTAATGATAGAACTGGAATGCATCCATGTGACTGAAGTATCTTAGCTCTGAATACTTTGTATGTGTTTACTGTCATATCTTAGATTAAGCTGCCAGATGCTTCATGTTTTCCATGTCCTCAAGACTTGTGACACTTCCCCCTTCCCTATCACTCTATTGTGCTTTATTTTTTTTTTTTTAACACTTACCTATTTTTATCAGAAAGATAGATTACTTATAGAAGGAGAGACCGAATTATCTTCCATCCACTGGTTCACTCCCCAAATGGCTGTAATTGTCAGAATTGTGCCAATCCAAAGCCAGGAGCTTCTTCAGTCTCCCATATGGGTGCAGGGTCCCAAAGCTTTGAGCCGTCCTCCACTGCTTTCCTAGGCCACAAGCAGGGAGCTGGATAGGAAGTGGAGCAGCCGGTACATGAACTGGAATCCATATAGGATCCCAGTGCTTTGTAAGATTAGGATTAGCTAATTGTGCTATTGCCCTGGGCCCACACAATATTTAACTTTTTTCCTCTAAAAACCATGTATCCTCAAGGTTCACTTCAAAAAAGCTTAAGTGGGGCCCGGCGCGGTGGCGCAAGTGGTTAAGTCCTCGCCTTGCACGCCCGGGATCCCATATGGGCACCGGTTCTAATCCCGGCAGCCCCGCTTCCCTTCCAGCTCCCTGCCTGTGGCCCGGGAAAGCAGTCGAGGACGGCCCAAAGCTTTGGGACCCTGCACTCGCGTGGGAGACCCAGAAGAGGCTCCTAGCTTCGGATCGGCATAGTATCGGCCGTTGCGGCTCACTTGGGGAGTGAATCATTGGACGGAAGATCTTCCTCTCTGTATCTCCTCTCTGTATATCCGCCTTTCCAATAAAAAATAATAAAAATAAATCTTTTAAAAAAAAAAGCTTAAGTGACACTCTGTAAACCTTGTGACATATTAATGAAAATAAAACTTATAATGGTTAAACACCATCAGTCCTTTGTAGCAGGCAGATTACATTTAAAATGAAATTTAGCAGTGACAGAAGTAATTTCACTAATGAGGATTTCTTAGAGCAAGGACAGTGAATAATTTGCAAGGTGCTGCAGTATTGATAAGAATTTGTGCTATTTCCTGGGGTGCATAGCTTCCTTTCTCTGGAAAACTGGGAGTGGTGATTCTGAGTCATAATGTGCTGTCAGAGGTGCTGAACACTCTTGAGACAATTGCTACTCTACACACTTCTGGTTTAGATAAGATTAGTACTTGAGTTGTGAGCTACATTAGTGCATAGTGAAACAAAAGTAAAAATCTGTCTACATGCCTACCACCAAGGCAAGCACCTCTGTGATTCATATTTGTGTGTTTGGTGAATGGGGTCGTATTGAGGTGTACCAGTCCATGAGTCAGCACAAGACACACATTGTGCAGTCCTGTGACAAATTGTTATTAGCTTTATTTTTAGAAAATGAATGCATTGAGATTCAAGAAAGATACATAACCTCACATGGACCTATATTAGCAAGTCGACTTGTGAAGTTTGTTGAAGTCACTAATGTGGGACAGAGATGACTGTAGATATAGAAAGTAAATATTATGTAGTGCACGTGAAATCATAAGTCACAGTAAGCATTTTTACTAGTGAATATTACTTAACTCATTGCAGCTCACCATCAATGTGGTGTCCATTTCATTAAACTTTATAGGATGTTATAGATTATAATTGTATTATTCATAGGACGAGTTAATTCACTGAGTTGATCTCCAAACTAAAAGTGTAGGTAGAAGAGAATTTATCTTATGATTTTTAATGAGCACATTTGAAATGCCTGAAAAGATCAGTTTAGATCCTTTAATTATGAATTGCTTTAACTTTTGGGATTATTGCTCTACATTTATCTAATAGTTGGGAATTTATTTTTTTAAACATTTACTTATTTTTTATTATTATAAAGTCCAATACACAGAGAGGAGACACAGAGAGGAAGATCTTCCATCTGATGATTCACTTCCCCAAGTGGCTGATGATTCACTCCCCAAGTAGCCGCAATGGCCAGAGCTGTGCTGATCTGAAGTCAGGAGCCAGGAGCCTCTTCCAAGTCCCCCACATGGGTGCAGGGTCCCAAGACTTTGGGCCATCCTCAACTGCTTTCCCGGGCCATATGCAGGAAGTTGGATGGGAAGTGGGGCCGCGGGATTAAAACTGGCCCCCATATGGGATCCTGGTGTATACAAGGCAAGGACTTTTGCTGCTAAGCTATGGTGCTGGGCCTGGGAAGTTTTCTGGTTTTGTTTTCATTTTTTTTTAACAGTATATTTTTTTGAAAGAATGTTTTTCACGTCCCTATAATAACAACTATCTAAGCTCAAGTATTCATGTCTATTAGTATTTGTTTTAGGATGTAAAAGCTTGGATTTTATTACTCAGATTCTGAAAAGAAATTGTAACAACAACAATTTGCTAAGTAAGTTTCTTAGCTAGTTAAACATCATGCCTTGAATTATTCATTCTGCCTGTGCTGCTCAGTCATGATGGATTAACTGACTTGTGGTAACTATTATGCAGATGCAAACACGTAATCTAGATGATGAAATTGACCTTTTTTGATCTGATTTTTGTTTAGAGCCCTTGCCTATACTCTTGAGGAACAAATCTTATTTTTTCTACTACTTTTTGAAGCCTTTACCTAGTAGAGGTATGATGCTTGTGATTATAAAATAAACTGAAAGTACAGCATTGTAAAAGTTAAAAAAGTTCAAAAAGGAAGAAAGGAAGAGGTAATGTGGGAGCGTTGCTGGGAGAGAAAATAGGGTTGAAAGAAGCACTATGCTCCTAAATCTGTAAATTGGAAATACATGAAGTTTGTCCACCTTATATAAATAAAAAAAAATTTATACCTGTAAAGTGAAAACAAACCAAGCAAAATGATGCTTACTTTTTGTTCTCAAAACTTAGACAGAAAAGACAATATATGCATCCCATTTTCAGTAGTTAAAAGGTAATAAGAAACACAAATATGATTGTATAAAATATTTTAAACAAACAGCCCTAAGTACAGTAACAGAATAATAAATCAAGTTAATGCATACTACATGAAGTATGGAAAATATAGTCTTATCAATTAAATATTTGTATACAATATAGCAAATACTGTGTTTTAGTCATTGCAAGTCCTACGTTCAAATACTTACAGGTTTAGTTATTTCATGAAGTATTTTACCCTGTTATCACATTTCAAAATAAAACAGAAATGAAAGAAGTCTGTTGTCCAGTGATTATCATTTTGCCACAGGAATGTATTAGACAGTGGGAACTAGGCCCTCTACTGAAAGTTATAAAGCAAAGTATGGACCAGGTCTCACACTACTAAAATTATTTATTTTCTGTTTAGAGTTACAGCAGTTATTACAAATGAAAGTGAGGGTAGGTAGTAAAGACTAAAAGAGTAAGTATGGAGGCAAGGAACATCTTATGCCTGACAATTCTAACCTAGTGGCTGTTTCAATTATGCTAATCCCAAAGTTCTGGTAAGAATCCATTTTTCATATCCTTTTCATTTTCATCCTCCCTAGTGTTGCCTTTTTTCCCCATTTAGTTTTCAGAATATGCTCCTTAAGTACAAAATAATCGTTCTGCAGACACTCGGCCAAGATTTACTTGATTTTAACTCAGTTTCACAAATCATGTTTGGAAGGAATGTAAAATCTCTATAAAAGACAAAACAAATGTATTATTTTTAAATTTTAGAAAATTTATTCATCTAATATGTTTGAAAGGAAGAGAGAGAGAGAGATAGGCAAACAGAAAAATCTTCCATTCACTACTTTTTTCCCTAAAGGCCCGCAACAGCCAAATGTGTGCCAGGTTGAAACCAGTAACACAGAACTCAACCGAGGGTCTCCATGTGGGTGGTAGAAACCCAACATTTGAGCCATCACCTGCTGCCTTCTATGGTGCGTGTCAGCAAGCAGCTGAGTCAAGATCACAGTTGGATTGGAATGTAGGCACTCTGATATAGGATGTAGGTGTTCCAAGTGGTGTCTTAACTTTTATACCAAACACCCACCTGCTTAACTTATATTTTCAATTGCTGTAGTTTCATTAAATCTTACTTAATTTTTCCCTTTGACTATCTAATTTTTCATTTGACTTCAATATCCAATTAACTCTTGTTGATTTTCCAAAGTATTTTCTTTGTTGGTCCCCACACCTCCATTAATGTGAAAAACCTCTAAAACCTGAAAAAACCAGGAGCATTGCTGTTGAAATGGTGTGTATCAGAATGTTGTGTGCTTGTGATAAAACTCTCCAGGCTGCCTCCTTGGGGCTTGTAAATCTTTAGTATCATGAAGATTCAGACATGGTTATTTTATGTTTGTCTCAATGTGCTTTTCTTCTTTGTCCTTTTGCTCAGCTGGAATGTGTGCTGACTCTGCCAACTTCTGAGACTGAGAACCAGAGGAAGCCAGCTGGAGAATGCCGTCTGAACGCTGCCTCAGGTGCGCCCTGAAGGACATACCCTTGCTTCGTGTAGTGAGCCTTGAGACAGTCCCCGTTAGCCTAGGACTAGGTACTTAAAAGGAATGAGCTTTTGTTAATTTTTACTGCTTGTCTGGTTGTTGGTCCAACCTAGATGTGTTTCATGATTCTTTGAATGACACTACTTTTTATCTGTATCTTTTTTGGATGTTAACCTGATTCAAACAAAAATCATACTGCTGAACAGGTAAATTATTAGAAAAAGAATCCCAAAACTACCTGAGGGGACTTCAAAAAGGCTGAAAAAAAATAGATTTAAAAGATACATTTATTTCGTTTGAGAATATTTTGAAAATCATGCCTAGTTTTTTAAAGAATGAGGATTTTCCAATAATTTTTGAGGAATCACAGACACACATATATATATATATGGACACATATATGTATCTGTACATTTTGAATTTTGTTCCTTTCGAAATAATCACCTTGGTGAGTCAACACTTATTTTCAAAATTCTCATAGCATTTTTCTTCTGATAATTCATTATTTTCATGGCTATTTATTTCCTAATGTAGAGAACACAGCTATGAAGCACAAAGTCTGTGCTCATAAACATGTTTTTGGAGAAAACAGATTTACAAACAAACATCATACCAGTAACAATGCAAATACGATTGTGAAAATCGCTTTAAGGATGAGTTCAGCATAGATAGAGTAGGGAGCATTCTTCTGAGGAACTGTTCCCTACTGTGCAAGCTGGAGGATGGGGAGACGGGGGGATGTTCTGGAGCAGGAAGGAGCTTGGCACAGTGCAAACATGGAGCTGCAGCCAATGAGGACAGGCATGGCATTCATGTGGATATTCTCACTGGAGGCAGACTTTTGTTATCTTCCAAGCAGGCAGAAGATCTCTGCAGCAAAGAATAAGGGAGGTGACATACTTAGAGAATACTTATTTTTTCATGTTCAGAACTGCACATGTCTAGCAAATAATGCTATCTGCTTCCTTTCATAACTCTGAAACTATTAGAGATGACCAGTTCAAAACTATACTCAAAAAGGGTGGCATTGTTACATCAGGTGTAATGCCTTTGCAATTTTGCTCTCAATGAAGGATGATTTTTGCCATCAGAGTACATTGTTCAATGCCTGACAACAGTTTTACTTGTTGCTGAGCGTAGCAGCACAACTGACAGCTAGAGGGTAGAGAACAAAAATCTTGCTAAACATCTTATTATACATATACATTTCAACCCTGCACTGCAGAAATAGTCTGGTCAAGAATGCCAATAATGCTGAGACGGAAGAACCCTGCTGTTGATGTGTCTAGTCAGTTTTGTCCATGGAGACCATATCCGTCGGCCATCAGCTCTGCTGAGTGGTTTGTTTGTTTTTGGTTTTTTGTTTTTTGCCTTTTGTTTTGTTTCTGACTACCAAGATCAGTATGTACTCTCAAAACTTTTTACCTTAAATCTGACATCCCTATTTTTTTTTTTTAATAATCTCACATTGCTTCATCATTTGTATTCTGCAGTATGGTTGTCTTCATAATGTCTTCCCCTCTCTGCTGAAAAGCAGAGCCCTCACTTCCCCACCTGTTCTACTTCCTACTATGTCATGCAGAGCTGTTGTGATATCACCATGCTTCGCTTCATCTTCCTGGTTCTGACAGGCTCTGCTCATCTCTGACTTCAGTGAGGCCTGTCTTCCACTGAGGGTTGGTTCTCTTGTAACCCTGTATTGTCATTTTTATCCACTCACATCTCACACGCTTTGGGGCAGGGAGACTGTTGTCACTCTGGAATATATAGCATTGCTAATAAACCTTTATTTTTTAATATGTGTTTATTTAATTGAAAGTCATAGTTACTGAGTACGGAGGAGGGGAGGAGGGAAGGAAGAAAAGTGGGAAGGAAGGAAGGAGGGAGAGAGAGAAACAGAGAGATAGAGGAGAGGGAGAGAGATCTTCGTATTTGCTGGTTCACATTCCAGATGACTACTGTATCCAGGCCAAAGTGTGGAGCTTCATCCAGACCCCCCATGTATATGGAAGGGGTCCAAGCACTTTAGTTGTCATCTGTTGCTTTTCTTTAGATGAAAGCTGGATTGGAAGTGGAACAACAAGGCCTGGAAGTTGTGCCCATGTGGGGTGCCAGTGTCACAGGTAGTGGCTCTGTCCACTATGCCTAGTGCTAAACCCTAGATCACTGTTTCTTACATTTGATTGTTCATTACAACAAAACCAATGAATGTGCTCTTGAAAGGCAGTGGTCTTCCTCTTCCTTTTCTCTTCCAACTGTGATAGGTCCACTTCCTGAGCCCTTTTACACCTGGGTTACAATCTTCCTGCCCATTACAAATCCTTCTCCACCTCCCATCATGTCAGCATGAAGGCTCTGTCCATTTTTATGTCCTTGGAGATCCCAGCCTGGTTATTTCCAAAGACCTCCCTCCACTCAGCTACCATGGTTATACCTTGGATTTTGTCATCCGCAGCAATTGCTCTGCTTCTGAAAATCATTAGTTGCTTTACCCTTATCACAGCTAGTTTGCCCACCCCCCACTCTCATCACATTTGGACATCATAGGAAGGGCCTCATCCGCTGCCCTGCTGCTTTTTATCAATCCATCTTTCTTTTCAACATCTCTCTTCCTAATCAGTTTAGATTCTGTCACTCCTACTAAATCCTTAATGTTTCTTACATTTTTGAAGTAGATGCCTAAGTAGACTTTAATTCAAGTGAATCCAACCATTCAGGTTTTTATGCCTGTGTTGCTCAGTAGAAACCTAATACACAAAAATCTTCAGATAAAACAAGACAAAAATGCCCAATTTTATTACCTGTTTCTGGTCCACTTTTTTCCCTGCTACTCAAGGGCCAGTGCTTTTCTACAGCTAAAACCTGCCCTGCCTCTGCGTAAGAATATTCTCTTATCTTCTCAGCAACCTTGGACTGTTGGCTGCCTCTTAAGTGTTCTTAAGACACAACCGTGGTTCTATAGCCCACTATATTCAGACAAGCCACAGATCTTATGTCTAATTAAGACTTCTGAGCACCAGAAATGTAAGTCAAGCTACATATTTGACATTTGCAATTGAGAGTTTTTTTAAAAAGATTTATTAGTTTGAAAGACAGAGCATCAGACAAAGAGAAAGAGGAGTGCTGTTCCGATTGACTCCCCCAAGTTCCTGAATAGTCAGGGCTGGACAAGTCAGTGTTCAAAGCCGGGAACTCCATCCAGCCCTTTGACATGTGTAGAGGGCCATCATTTGTTACCTCCAAAGCACATTCACAGGAAGTTGAATTAGAAGCATAGACTAGCTAGTACTCAAACCAGCACTCCAGAATGGGATATAGATGTCCCAAAGGACAGCATAACTTGCCGTGTCACAGCACCCTCCCCGTGGGTATCTTGAAGACAATTCAAACTCAACTTCCCCAAAACTAAATTCACCATCTTTCCCTTATGCATTTGCAATTCTCTGCTCCTTCTCTATTCTAGGAATATCAAGTTGTGCAAGCCAGAAACATGGGACTCTCCCATGGGATATCCTTCCCACCCACATCCACATCTAAGCCGTCACCAAGGCCCCTTAATTGTTCCAATCACCTCTTTGAAACTCTAATTCAAAGCCCAAGTCCATAATTCACCTGAAAAACAGCCACAGTTCAGTCTTTCTGATCTGGCCCACTCTCCCGACTGTTCATTGTCCTACAGCTTGAGTGATCTTTTCTGGGACCTAGCACTTCCTTTAGAGTGGACATGAATAGAAGTTCTGCACAAGTAGGCATCAGCCACTGCTGCACAGGACTTTCCTGCACCAAACTTCAACTTGTCCTCAGATCCAGTCATTAATGTCCCACCAAACCTGTTCCCTTTGCCACAGGATCATTTTGCTTTCCTACATGGGAAATCGCTCTCCTTTTTGCCTGTGTAACTTTTCAGTCCTCCAGTCTACAGCTCACATGTTACTTCTTCAGAGTGGCCAGATTTTTTATTGATGCATACCTGCCCACTAAATTGAATGTTTCGTGAGGGCTACTACCACATATATTTACCTCAATGCTGTATCCTAGATACTTAGTACAGCATTTGGCCCAGGCCCTGCTGGGTGAAAGAATGAGAGACAGGAGGAAACAAAACTATTCATCCATAAATATATTAATTTATTTTTACATGGTTTTATTTCTTAATCACTCCCTAAATATTATGTCTTTGCTTATTGTTATAATGTTATTACAATTAGTGTTAATGCTATAATTAATGATAAGTAGTAAGTACTTATGAAGTACAAAGGGTTCTATAAAAATAGAAGTTTGGTTATATGATCTTTGAATAGCCTGTCCATTTAAGTATGTAGACTAGTTGGAGTAATAATACAATTAATTGTTACAAAAATGTTTTTATTATGCAAGTGAGTTATTTAGGACAGTTACTTAATAGTTCTTCATCCGATTGAACTGAGATAATTATGTGCAGTTCTGTTATATGCAGAACTTTTTGTCCAGATGTCTTTCTTCTGTAAAGTAGAGTATTTAGGGAATGCAGATTTTATGCTACTTGACTATTTTTGGTAAGTAGGAGATACAATATTTATTAGTAGCTTAACATGAAAACTATTTGCATGGTTTTTTGTATATTTGGATACTGATTTGAATTTTTGAAGTGCGGATTCTTAAAACCATATAATTGTTTTGGGATTTTTATAGCTTAAAAGCTGACTGAATTTAGTTAAAATTTTCTATGAAGCTGTGAGTCTCTCGGATTTCTGTGATCAAAAATGTTAGCTATGAATTCAAAGCAGCAGTTTGCGGTCAGGCAGTGATTCAACATGAACAGTGTGTGTAGTGTTGCAAACATTGTGTTCTGCATTTGATTGATCAGATCTTGAGATCAGTTCCAAAATGAAGGTTAAAAACCCACAGTCATGAACAGTCCTGTCCCCTGAGGCCTCACTTATTTATTTCCCTGGCATTGGATGCCAACATATGGCCAATCAAATAGTTATTCCCCAGTATTACTAAAGAGCAAGCTGCAGCTTGGGAGGCCTAGGGCTCTCCTAGTTACAACAGGACCTCAGCTGAGACCTGTGATATATGGTATTGGTCTTCAATGGCATGCTGCCAACAGACCCTGTAGTCATCAGAAGGCTCAGGTGGAAAGGAGGAGTGGGATTCCACCTGCACACTTGTAGACTGTCCAATAGAATCATAATGAAAGGCACATATAATTTAAGATCTCAAGTAGCCACATTTAAATGGGTAGTAAGAAACATATACGGTAAATTATATGTTTCACCCAATGTACCTCGAATAGTAAACATATAATTAATATGCTTGTTTAATGAGATAGTGTGGATTTAGATAGATAGACATCCAGTGTTCATTTTGCAATCACAGCACCGCCCAACCAGACTAGCCATATATGAGTGCTAAGCAATCATACCTGTGATGGAGAATACACTGTGGATGGTACAGTTCTAAAGGAGACCTCAAGGAACAGAGCATTGGAGAAGTGAGGATACTCTTGGCCTTCCCCTGTGACTTCTGAGGTTTCCAGGGAAAACCTTTTCCAGTTTAGGATGACATTTAAATCTTTCTGTCCTAAAGAAATGGGGTTCCTGCTGCAGGTATTTTTCCTGGTAATTGAAGAAATTTTAGGATATGATTAGGATATGACCTTTTCTTCCTTTTGTTTTGTTTCTCAAATAATGGAGGAACATTGTGCTACATTGGGTTTTTTTTTTTTTTTGTTAACTTGTGTACATTGTAGATTGCAGGGAAGCTGGTTGTAAATGTTAGCTCCCCATCTTAAGTTATTTATGCTAATACTAGCTTTGACTCATCTCTTCCATGGTTTATAGTTGTCAACTTGATAGGTAAGGCCTTTTGCCCTCTGCCTGTGTTAGCCACGTTTGCCCCAACATTGAAAGATTGAGGTTCTCTGCATATTTACATTGGAGATTTCAGTGGGAAGTTACTTTCATAATACAATCATGACTTGTTGATTAGCAAGCTTTTATTTCTTGCCAAATGTTGGAGTGTTTGTTTCTGCTTTTAAGGATTCCTAACATATTGGTTCCAAAATATTTGGGATCTTGTTCCAAGTGTTGTTTTAAATATCTAGCACGTTATTTTCTTTAAGCTCGAATATTTCAAGCCCAGTTGAATGATCCTGTGGAATTGTGCGGCATCACTATTGTTTCAAAACTGAGCCTTTCATTCTTTGCTAAGTTTTAGTTTACAGCTGCTCTTTCCCTGGCAAGATTTCTTCACTCTCAGGAGATATCTGAAATGCAAATCCTGATTCAGTCTTAATAACAAGGAGGTGAATTGTGGCACTCTATTTGGAAAGTGAGTAAGGAAGCATTTTAAGAGAATTATTATAATATATTCTGTTATACTACAAATGAAATTTCAAAATATATTTATTTAGCCATTAAAGTGCACCAAGAGAGAAAAAAAGTTTAAAAGTTTCAAATTTTTTAAAATATCAATTTATTATTTGAAAGTTTGAGCTATAGAGTGACAAGGAGAGACGGAGGGAAAGATCTTCCATTTTCTGGTTCACTCCTCTTATGGCCACAATGATTGGGGCTGGGCCAGGCCGAAGACAGGAGCCCAGAGCTTTTTCAGGATCTCCAATGTGAGTGCAGCTGTCCAGGCAGTTGGGCTGTATTCCGTTGCTTTCCCGGACACATTAGGGAGCTGGATTGAGAGTACAGCAATTGGGATTAGAACTGGCACCTATATGGGATGACAGCATTATAGGCTACTCCTCAGAACTGGCCTCCATATTTTCTTTTCTTTTTCTGTTTTCTTTTTAAAGATTTATTTTACTTTTATCAAAAAGTCAGACTACAGAGAAAAGGAGAGTTAGAGAGAGAGGAAGATTTTCTATCTGTTGATTCACTCCCTAAGTGACCTCAACAACCAGAGCTTCACTGATCCAGAGCCCAGAGCTTGGAGCCTCTTGTGGGTCTTCCTCACAGGTCCAGGGTCCCAAGGCTTTGGGCCATCCCTGACTGCTTTCCCAGGTCACAAGCAGGAACTGGATGGGAATTGGAGCTGCTGGTACTAGAATTGGTACCCATATGGGATCCTGGTGTGTACAAGGCAAGGACTTTAACTGCTAGGTAATGGCACCGGGCCCAGGAAGTTTTGAAGAGTGAGCCAGAATATAAAACATTCTCTCTCTCAATCTCAATCTTTCTCTGTCACTCTGTCTCTCAAATAGATGAAATAAATAAATCACTTAAAAATGGAAACTCTATTTTCTAAGCTGAAGCTTTTGTTCACAGTTTGAGGAAAAATGTTTGTGAAATGTGATTTGCTATTTCATATTATTGTATTCATACGTATTATTCTAAAACACTGGTCTAAAGATTAAATATAAATAATTTTAAATATGACGATAATAGTCTTGTGCTTTCCCCCCTCAGCATGCATCTTTAAGGGTTTCTTTATAGATGCACATTTATTGTTTTATTTTCCATTTTTTATTTTTAAATAGGAAAGGAAGTTGCATTATAGTGCTCTTGGTGATGTTTTCAAAACACTCAATCTTGTACTTTCAATTTACTTATTTATTTAATGAGATAAAGATAATTGCCTCTTACAATTATTCTGAGGGGTATATTAATAATTATAAATCCTTAAGAATGGCTTATGGAATGTGGTAAGCAGTATATGTTCGTTAAATATGTTAAAATGCCATCCTTTGGAGCCAGCACCATGGTTTAGTGGTCTGACCCTCTGCCTGAAGCACCATGTGGGAGCCTGTTCAAGTCCCAGCCATTCCATTTGCTATCCAGCTTCCTGCTAATGGTCTGGGAAGAATCTAGAAGATGACTCAGGTCTGCTTTCATCCACTGCATGCACATGGGAGACTCAGAGGAAGTTCCTGGTGCCAAGCTCCTGACTCCCAGCTTTGAAGGGGTCCAACCCCAGCTGTTGTGACCATTTGAGGAGTAAACCAGTAGATGCAAGATTCTCTCTCCCTTTCTCTCTCCATACTTTCTTTTCTCTCTCTGTAACTGCCCTTCAAATAAAAAAAAATACTTAAAAAAATACCATTCTGTGGGGGCAAAGGATGTTCTAAACTTGTGCTTTACTGGGGTTATATTTCTATTACTATTTTGTCTCTTTAATGATGTTAGTTTCCATTTTGTACTTTGCATGGAAAAGTAAAACTATTTATGCCCCTGAATATGGTTTTCAATGACCAATTCCAAACAGCTGCTTATAGACAGAGCCACTAAATAAACATTAAATGGCAGAAACCATTTCAAAACTTGCTGCTGCGTTTCAGCTACAAACATCCTTCCCATCTTCCTATCAGAACTTCCTACATGATCATCTTCTGTCGAATTCTTTTCTTTCCATAACTCTGGCAATTCTGATCCTTCTCAACCAAAAATGTCTGCCAAAGCTTACCGACTACATTCTAGCATCTTGTGAGAAGGATTTGGTTAATTTTAAGGTGGTAACCTTAAAATGAGTTCTGAGTCGCTGGCCAACTGACACAACAGGTGGGAGAGAGTCCTGGCCGATGAGCTACTCGTGCAGACTAGGCTGTTGGTGAATCTTTTGCTCCAATGAGGAGCTCTTATGTACACAGAAGGAGGGCTTGGATGCAGGATTATTAGTAAGACACAGTGCTCAGTCATTCTGCAGGTATATACTCGGCTTTGAAAAGAGCCCACTGATCAGAAATGGGCTGAGAGTTCTTGTTTTCATCTGGCAGTGACTTGTCACTGGCTCATCTCATCCATCTTAGTTCCATACCAGCTCTGAAATCTCAAAGCACCAGGAGAATTTTTATTGCTCTAAGCTGGAATTGTCAATAGGTATCCATAAATTCACTCTGCATTTTGTGCTTACATCATTGCTTCTACACTATCTGACAAAGATCTGAAGCTTCACCTGAAAGTTTTGAAAGGATGAAAGGATAAATGTTTTAGTTTGGGATAAAATGAAGGACTTAAGGGATGTCACAATGAGTAAGTTTAGAAATCTCACAAAATATAAAGGAAAATAAATCTAAAAATGTCAAAATCTAGTGCAGTATTCACACATAAATATAGAAATATTTACTTTCACCTTAAAGTCTCTTATTCACAATGACTTTCTCTTGACCTCCTTGTGGTGCAAAATCTCCCATATTTGATAATAGCTACAGCTCTTTTCCCTGCTAACCAGTTTTCTTGTATTTATGAATGGAGTATTGTGCTGTAGGGAGACATGGTCACATACAAGGTTAGAGAAGGAATCAGAGACAAAGGTAGAAGGTCAGATTGGGAAGAGTGACACACCTGGACACATCCCGACACATGCACAGGAAGCTTTGCTGAGTAATGTACACAGTGCAGGGACGAGGGCCTGGGGACACACGCTGGGAAACACACTACTGTGGATCAATTCAAACACAGATGGAATCCCCCCCAGATATGAATGCAGCAAGAAGGGCTTGGTCAGGAGGGAGAAAAAGGCTCTGTGAGGGTGAGGAAAAGAGAGCAAAAGAATGGTTGGGAGAAAGTGGTGGTGGGGAGGCAGAACATGAATGCCATGCGCAGAGTGCACTGGCATCGAGGTTGCCTCAGTGGATGCGGGAGGGTGAAAAGGCATCTGGGCAGCTGGGCTGATGAAAGAGAGACTGACTTGGTCGCTGTCCTTTTCAGTATTCAAGAAATGTTGACGGGCCAGAGGCTTTGCCACTCTGAGTCTCACAACGACAAAGTCCTGGCGGCGCTGAATCGGCAAAGAAGTGACGGCATCCTCTGCGATGTCACGCTGGTCGCAGAGGAGCAAAAGTTCCACGCTCACAAGGCGGTCCTGGCCGCGTGCAGTGACTACTTTCGGGTAAGTGAAGGCGGTTTCTTTCTGTTATGATGTTGCTGAACCGAGGATGGTGATGTTTCCTGAGCTGTCACTCAACTGGTTACTCAGCAGATCTGGAGTTGGAATTCGTGATCCTATTAGCAGTATCCAGGGCTGTAGATGTTGGAGATTTGTGTTCTTTCTTGAGGGGAATGCGGTCTGGTGTCTTGTGGGAATCTTCCCTGGGCTGGACATCTGGATCCCTTTGCATTTGAGTCAAGGGCATTGGCGCTTTAACTACCACAACGAAGTGTAGCACCATAGTGTTTCAGAAGCAGCACACGTGTTTCTGAATACAGCATCAAAGGAAAAAATCAGCAAAATAATTTATTAAATTCTAGAAATTCCTTACTTGTGTTGAGTATTTGTTTTTAAATTCTGTGTAAGTTATGAACGTTTTGTAATGATGTTCTCCAGTGATAGAGATACAGTGGTTTTAGTGGACTCTTCCGGTTGACAAGTCTGCTTGAATTTCTTCAGCTTCTTCAATTTGTTTAGTAGAACTTGGGGATTTGATTTCCAGCAGATAATGATATGTGGTGCTATTATTGTTTCCTTTTAAGATGAAAGTGGACAATGTAGTTATAGTTGATCAGATATAAATTGTTTAGCATTTCCTGTGGCTCAAATGGCAGACAAAGGACTTCACATGCATGTGTCATTTGAAACAACCACCTGCTTTACAAATACATATGCATACTGCCTACATGATACATATATATCACTGCCTATATAAGGAAATTATGTCTCAGAGGTTAAATTAAATTAAAAAATTGTGCAGTTTCAATATAACAAATCTGGAATAGAAATTGACACTCAGCTCCTGTCTTGCACATGCTGTTCTAACTCTTTGTATAGACACAAGAATGATTATTAAACAAATTTTAACCTGATTATTAACCAGGATTTTAAAAGTATTAATTTTTGTATACATACTTTGTAATTATTGTGTCGTTTGTTTTTTGTGTTATTTTACTTAACAAAGGATCAGGTAGTGGTTTTGAAACATAACAATATGAAACTTTATACAAATGGCAAATATAAAAGACCAGCTGGAGCCCAGGGCAAGATGTTGGTTGGTTTAGATGTTTTCAATAATAATAATAAATAACAAATAATAAATAATAATAATAATAATAATAAATGTTTTCAAAAATAAATTAACTTTTGTTGTTTAAGAGAACATATCAGCTGTAGTAAGCAGTCTTAGAACACTTTCCAAAATTCCAAACCATAAAAGGAAGCCCTTTTAAAAAGTCATTTTAAATATGGTGAGACTGAGTAATGTAGACGTTAAAGGGGTAATTGCTTGAACATCTATTTCTAAAATTTCAAAAATTCCCACAGATTTGATTCTTACTCAAAGATGGGATTTTATTCTACAGAAATCTCTGAAGTGACCTTTTTGTTCCATTATTGTAATGGTACACTTTACACACCTTTGCACTGTCAGGTACTAGTGTTCCAGAAAGATTATATTAGTCAAAGGGACTCTGAAACAGCAAAGTCCTTTGGTTTGCATGCACATTATGTGAGTTTTGTCTCCTTTTAGGTCTTGGTAGACTTCTTAATGTTTGGCTTCTTTTGTGAAAAAAGAAGTTTTTGTTATTATCGTTATCATTATTATTATTGAAAGGCAAAAAAAAAAAAAAACAACCAGAGGAGACACAAAGAGAGAGAATCTTACATCCACTTGTCCACTCCCCAAATGGCTGTGGTATCTGGAGCTGGACCAGTCTGAAGCTGGAAACATGGTGCTTCTTCCAGATCTCCTCTCTGTCGTAGGTACATCATCAGAGAGCTGGATCAGAAATGGAGCAACCAGGATTCAAATTGACATTGTATGTGACACTGACGCTGCAGGCAGAAGCTTGACCTTATCCACCATGACACCAGCCCATAGTGTTTAATTTTTTTCACATAGATCTTGGCATGTTGAGTTTTGAATTGCATTCTGGGAAATGGTTTTGTTTTGTGCATGTGCATGGATGAGAGAGTGTGAGCAAATGCATTCACGCAGGTATAAGGCCATATTTCTTGTGACCCTTTAACAGGATTTTCTGCTTCTCTTAGTATGTTTCCTCTTTAATTGCTATGCTTAATATACTCTGGGACTGCCTTCTCACAATACCCGAATGATACAGACTATAAAGAAAATGTTCTCACTCATGCTCTGCAAGTGAGGAAACCAAAATATCACTTGGTTAAGTAAATTGTTGAAGCCTTTCCATGCATTAGATAGAAGAGCTGATGGACCTCAGCACAGTGGCCTAGTGCTAAAGTCCTCGCCTTGAATGTGCTCCAGGATCCCATATGGACACTGGTTCTAATCCCGGCAGCTCCATTTCCCATCCAGCTCCCTGCTTGTGGCCAGGGAAAGCAGTTGAGGACAGCCCAAAGCCTTGGGAACCTGCACCCACGTGGGAAACCTGGAAGAACTCCTGGCTCCTGACTTCAGATTGGTGCAGCTCTGGCCATTGTGGTCACTTGGGGAGTGAATCATTGGACAGAAGTTCTTCCTATCTGTCTCTCCTCCTCTCTATATATCTGACTTTGTAATAAAAATAAATAAAACTTGAAAAGAGAGAGAGAGAGAAAGAGCTGATGTTTTACATGTCTGTCTCCACGAGAACCACTTAAGCCACAATGTACTGTTAGATTTATACCCAGTTCCTTCCACCTCACAACCTGCTTGCAAGGCAAACATTCTATGACTTGTGCACTAATTGTTCCAGTCGAGAAATCAAAGCAAAGTGGAGATTGTTACACTTACCTTTTATCTGCACTGTGAGCAGAGAGCCCGAGCTGTGCAGAGCCTGCATCACTCAAAGTCATTTTTCTTGTACACGGTGTTTTTTGTCAGCTTTTGCTATGACACAAACTCCCTCAAAATTCAGGATCTGAATTGGTTTTTTTTGGCCAGCCAGCCCAGCAGATCTATGCTGGATTTGTTCTTGCCTCAGTGATTGGCCAGAGGCTTGGCTGGAGGCTTGATGGTCTAAGTTGACCTTGTTCACGTGTCTGGTGATTGGTAGGCTGTTGGCTGCAGGGACAGGGGAAACTAGGCCATGCATTTCTCACACACAGGCTAATGCAGGCTTCTTTACAGGCTCACAGAATTCTAAGAAGTGATAGTTGGTAAGCTTTAACGCACAGGTGCATTCTAGTGCCGCTTATGAATGCTGCCTTGGCCAAGCAAATCACATGGTCAAACCTGCAGTGGATGCAAGACATTTCTGGTGGGTATAGAAGCAGGAAAGGAAAGAATTTGTTGTCACTTTTGCGATATACTGCTGTCAGCAACTAGCAAGAATCTGAGATTTTATTCTGTTTACAAACTAATTAGTTAGCTTACCACAAGGATGCCAGTTGGAGACAAGAGATTCCTAGGTCAGAAACAAAGGACAGTTGGTTACTTGTGGCCACAGCAGCACCTGATTTCTGGCATATTTGAAGCTGTTTTCTGAATCCCAATTACTACAGGGTGATAGGAAAAGAGCCAAGTGAAGTTATTACATAAAGGGGATGTTGTATTACAGGAGAGAACCATTTTGCTTAGTGAACCAGAATTTTTTTTAAGATTTATTGATTTTTACTGGAAGGTCAGATATACACAGAAGAGGAGAGACAGACAGGAAAATCTTCTGTCCAATGATTCACTCCCCAAGTGACCACAATGGCCAGAGCTGCACCAATCTAAAGCGAGGAGCCAGGAATTCTTCCAGGTTTCCCTTGTGGGTACAGGTTCCCAAGGCTTTGTGCCATCCTCGACTGCTTTCCCAGGCCACAAGCAGGGAGCTGGATGGGAAACGGAGCTGCCGGGATTAGAACCAGTGTCCATATGGGATCCAGGTGTGTGCAAGGCAACGACTCCAGCCACTACGCTATGGCTCTTGGCCCCAAACCAGAATCTTTATAGTGGATGGTAAACATGTCTACCCTTTGCTTTGGAAGAAGACATTATGATACTGGACAGTAAGGACACCTACCTTTTCCTACAGAGAGAGATACCACATCTTTAAGCCTGTAAGCAAACATGCTGCTTGCTCTGGGGGCAGATACCAAACTGCTTTTCCAGGTTGTTTGCTGTGGAAATATCCTTGAGAAAGCAGTTCAGAACAAATAATAGTGTGTCACTAACAATCTATGCTGAAATGCATGAAACTCATGACTAATTATTTCCCAGCAGTCACTGGACTATTTTGTTTTCCTTGTCTCTTGAGTTCTACTCAGGAACACCTGGAAACAGTATTTTGTTCTAATAGTTGCTGTTTCTCACACTGCCTACAATGTTGCCTTATGCTTTATAAGTGCTCAGGAAGTGTTGAGTGAATGGAGAAGTGTTTTCTGATTGTCAGAACTCTATATATTTCAGTTTGTAAAATTCTAAGTATAGACATATGCAAATGGTTTGCAGGTTTTTTTCCCCCTAGTATGATCTGTTCACATTAGTTAGAGGTGTAAACCAGGTTTTTGTGCTTTGTTCTCTGACATGTGACAGATTTAAATGTTAAAATAATTGCTGTTCTGATTCAGGCAAATGGGGATTCAAGAGTGAGATGGCCTCGTCTTTGTTATAAACTGTCCCTTTACAATGATCTGAGAGTTAACATTTTGTTTAAATTATGAATAGTTAATGAGTGGTGGAGCATAAAATAGTATGACTTCCTGTGATCATTATATTAAAGTATAAAAACATATTCTTTAGCCAAGTAATAATTTAAAAAAAAGAAGGTGAAAAAATAGGCTTAATTGCAGCAATGTAGGCTCAATGTAGTGGTAGTTCAATGTTGTAGTGGAGACAGCCCAGGGACTGCCTTCAAGGCAGTGTAAAGTAGTGGTGGGAGGAAGAAACAAATGAACTTAGGAGTCTGATCTGAATTTACATCTTTCCATAGGGACTGTATCTATCTGCTCAATGCTATTTTGCATAATGCCTGCCAAACAGTAGGTGCTATTTTAGTCAATATCTGTTAAGTTAT